AGGTTTTTTAGAATTTTTTTTATGCCTAAATATAAGAGGTTGTTAGTATTTTTTAATGAATGGACCATTATACTCTTATTAAATTAAAAAAAGAAAAAGATAAGTATTCTAATTAATTTACTTTGAAAAAAAAGATTCATATTTTTATTTACAATGATTAAGGGCAAAATTAAAATATTGCTATACTTTTAATTAGATAACTAACATTTATTGATTTGCATTGATTTAGTTAAAAATATTTTATATATTTGGATAGAGGGAGTATATGATTAGAGAGTACTCCTGTGGCCCTCTTTATAAGTCATCTCTAAAAATCTTATCGATACCAATGTAAAAAAAAGTATAAGGAACATAATGTGTAAAATTTTAAATAAATCCTTATATAATAAATTTAAAAAGTATTATTATGTTACTTTTTTTTCCTTATAAAAAATAATTTTAAAAATATATTTTAAATATTAATTAAAAATTTATATTATAATTTATAAGATCAAATGAAATTTTTAAAATGGGTTTTATAAATGGGATGCGGGGAGCATTTGAGATTAACAATTGATGTGGGCCCGGTTCGAATGGCGTTCCGTTCCGTTTTGGAAATGGAGCCTGGAAGGTTGTTTGTGTGGTATGTTTCTGGTGAATTGTGGACTTGTGGTGTGGGTGGGGGCCAGTCAATGCAAGTGGGCATTTTCTCCTGGGCATAAAAAATGGGAAAATCATTACAAAGTCCCTTGCAGAGATTTTAGTTACTACAAGGACCCATAAAAGGCACAAATTATCTCCAAGTCTCAGATCCTTTATTTTAAATGTATTTTATGTATAATTAGTAGAACACCCATATTTTGAATTTTTTAAAAAATAATTAACCCATCAACCCTTTCCATTGAAACACCGAAAAGTTTCCATCATTAGCAAACCGATTGCCAAAACACTTGCTAGTGGTAAGTAGTAGGTTTTTTTGGCCCAATGAATAGTAGGTCAAGTACATAATATTTGGAAGGTTGGTGTACCCAAAATAATTGATAATGATTATACTAGTATAAAATATAATATATATTGAATAACTTGTATCTAGAATAAAATTGGTAACTTGAGCGTAGAAAAATAAGATCTTGATATATGAAAATGACAACTCGTATAAAAGAAAGTGTCAACTTAAATATATAAACCTGGTTCTAATCCCCTAAGGCCATCCTTCCCATAATTAAGTAATTATAACCCACTGTTGATTGTCAGAGTTGCGGTGGTGGATGGGTTGATTTAAAACAAAATATAAAGATATTTTAGTAATTATATACAAAATATATCTAAAATAAAAGATCTGAGACTTGCTTGGGGATTAGCTTGTACGTTTCAGGGGATCAAATAGTAATTAGATTTCATACAAGGGATTTTGCACTGATTTTCTCCAAGAAAACCATTGAAGATGGTGGGGTTAGGGTTGCTCGAACACTTTGAAAGAATGACAGTTAGGTTTTGAATGACAATTATGTTTTTGATAAATTTTTTTATAAAATAAATTATAAATATTAGTTACAAGCAAAAATTTATCTTACAATATAAATATTACATTTAATATTTAAATACTTATTTATAATGAAAACTTTTGAATTTATAATAATTTAAATTGATATTTTTAACTTATTTTTTTTTAATTTGTCAATAATTTAACTAATATTAATTTAATATTTTACGACCAAATTGCCATTCTTCTGAATACTTTTGATCATTTGTCAAGCCTGGTCTTGGGCTCTTGGCCTTAGCATTGTTTCGTGTGCTTTTTGATTTTCCCATACATTTTGTTAAAATATCATCATTTATCAATCAACATCAAATTATTTATCAATCAAAAAACCTTATCAATATTTTCAAAGTGGCTTTTGATTTTAACATGTATAATAGGTTCTGAAATATTATAAAATATTTATATTTTTAGTATACGCCAGGAAAATCAATAAGTTATTGTTAGAATAACTTATAATACAAGTGATTTATATGAGATAATAAATTCTAAAATAAATTATATAGAAAATAATAACAAATTTTTAAATAGTGAAAAATAAATTGGTATTAAATAATTTTATAATACACCAGACACCTGGGATCATATATTTATAAATAAAATACATACAGGGATAATAACAAAATATATTTTTATATTTTTAATTCATTTCAACAAAACATGTCCAAAATTGGCTTCCAATTTGATGGAGAGGTTAAGATCTTATCGCAAATGACATTCTACATTTGTTATAGCGCTATGGGCTTGAAAGTATGCTTTGACCTATTGAGCTCCCAACTTACCTAAACTTTTATTGAGAGAAAAATAATTATTATGCTTAAAAATTAATGTTGTGGTCCAAAATATAAGCATTTATTCTTTTATTCCTGGCTAATATTGATCTAAAATATAAGCAATTTAGTATTCAATTTTTTTTATTTTACCACTTGTATTATAAACATGGATTCCCGTATTTGTGAATTTATGATCCTCTTCTAACTCATCATGAATTAAAACTAATATAAAAAGGAAAAAAATGTCTATACCATATTTGCATGGCAATAAATATTTTATTGGTATGCAGTTTTTTTTTTGGGTTAAAAATTGCTTATATTCTGAATTGGAGAAAGTTTGCGTTATAATTAATAAGTTTTTTATTAGTTTATTTTATGTTTTGTTTATTTAATTAAATTAAAAAATTTTAGGTGAAAAATTCCCTGGAGGTCAGACTTTTGACATTTCTACCCTTTTCATTTCAAACCCAACTACAAGTTCTTCCCTTTAACAAATCTCTATCACCGTCATCGGACACAAGATCGGGGAAGCAGGGATGGTGACGGTGGCAGTCGGTCTTTCTTTTCACGGTGTAGGAGACAATGCGCATGACAGTTCCAGAATACATTTTCATTTAAAATTCATAATAAAACAAAATAAATGTATTCTGATTTGAAGAATTATATCTCATAATTTCTTGTTTTTTCCCCTTCCATGAGATGACTTTGATTTGAACCATTTGCCTTTTGCCATACCCCATGACTCATCCTTGTTATGCGAGATAGATTTAGTTGACTTCTATTTCTAATTGTTTTTAAGCACAATGTGTGTGGCCATGATTTTAATTATATTGATTTTTATTCTAGAAATGGAAAAATATTTAAGAAAAATTAACGTTATATATATATATATATATATATTCTCTCCTCAAATACCTAATAAATGTAGAAATAGAACATGGGGTTCATTGATGATGTGTGTAAAAACTTACTGAGAACAAAAGAAATAATATATATTCATTGAAGAGTTGTACATTGTTTATATATCTAGAAATTTTAATTCACAGCATAAAATTTCTAGACCCATGTCTGAATCATTTTAAATAATTTCTTACTATTTTCCCCTTGTAGAGGCCATGACAACTTTTCTCATATATAGTTATTATAAATCTTATCTTTTTTTATGACCTAAATATTCATTTTAACATCTTCACCCAGCTTTATTACCTTAATTTTTTATTTTTATCTTCCCTTAATGTTTACTATTCTAGAGAAATTCTTACATGTACTAAGAGGGCCAGGTTTGTTTGTGGTTTTTACTGAGAGCTCCACCCTTCAGTATAGGGTGTTTAGCGCAGTTAAAAAAAAATTTGGAAAAAAAAAGGTCTTTAACCTAATATATATATATATATATATATTAATTGATTGTAATGCTGTTTAAAAAATTATTTAATAAGTTGTAGTATTATGTTTGATAATTGATAACTAATTGCTTCATAACAAAAAAATTAAAAAGAAAACGCGTTTTAGAAACATAAGCAATGAGTCTAAGTTAACCTATTAGTCTATATGTCCAAAAAAAAAAAACCTATTAGTCTATCAAGTAACTTCGTCTGAATAAACCAAAACCTAACAGCCCTACTCTCATTAAATTCATTCCTTTGAAAACCGTATATGTGCATACAAATATCAAAGAATTGTAAAACTGAATCAGCAACGAAGCAGAAATGTATACTTTTCAAAGAATTGTAAGACTGAACAGCTAAATACTTTTCAAAGGATGTATTGTCTTCATGTTTACGAATCCAATTAAGAACGTTAAGCATGCAAGAAGAGGCCGTCGTTTCGAAATATATATAAGGCATGCAAAACCAAGCCTCCTCGACATAACTCAAACTCATCATATATCATTTTGGTTCACTTTCTAAGTCAGGAATCGAAAAAGATGGCAAAAAATATTGCTGAAAATTGGAGAGATCTTAGTGGGCAACATTACTGGAAGGTTCTGCTAGACCCGCTTGACAATGATCTTCGCAGGTACATACTACACTATGGAGAGATGGCTCAAACTACTTATGATGCTTTTAACTCTGATAAAGTATCTAAGTAGGCAGGACGGAGCAGATATGGGAAAGCCGAGTTCTTTTCCAAGGTGGGTTTGGAAAAAGAGAATCCTTTCAAGTACGAGGTTACGAGGTTCCTATATGCGACCGTAGAAATCGATTTCCTTGTACTGAACGACGTTGAAGAATCGAACTGGATAGGGTATGTTGCTGTGGTGACAGATGAAGGCAAAGCTGTTTTAGGAAGGAGAGATATTGTGATTCCCTGGAGAGGAACCCAGAAGAGCGGGGAATGGGTTAAAGATGTTCAATTCCTTTTGAATGAAGCTCCACAGATATTTGGCGATGATTCTCATCGTAAAGTGCATCGAGGCTTTTATTCCATTTACACAGCAGATAACTCATGTCTCGACAAAACCAGCGCCAGGAACCAGGTCTGTAAGGGCTTGTTTGATTTCTATTTTCAAAAATCATTTTCTGTCTTAAAAAAAATGTTTAGGCAAGTGATTTAGATTTAAATGTTTTTAAAACTATTCTTGTCACGCCCCAAAATAGAGGGTGACCGGCACGAGTATGAGTCACTTACACATTCCCGTAAGCCTTAAAATAAACATTGATTTCATTTTACAAAAGAAAGGAACAAAATTTAATCAAATCCTATGAGAATTAAAATAACTTATTAGATCAATATCATAAAAGAGTGTCGATATTTTTGTAGAAATTTCGGCAGAACTTCCCTGTAACAAAGATCTCCCGAAAATTCTACAACAAAATTTTGACAGATAACAGTATAAATTAGGAGCGTAGCTCCTTCCAGCCAACAACCCATATACAGATAAAAAAAATAAAGTTTATTAACAACCTATGTGGAGCATCTATTCTTTCTCTTAAATCAAAAGGACATACAAATTATATATTTACATAAAGACAATAATACCAATCAAAATATCCACCCACTGTAGCTAGTTGCCCTTTTTTGAGGTCGCTGGTAGAATCGGCGTCAGCTAACCAATCTGAAGCCAAATAATTTTTCCAGTGAATAGCATTCCCATGATAAAATTCTTAAAATTTAAATTGACAGTCTCTAATAATGGTGTCAAATAATTGAAAGTAATTCCACCAAAATTATAAGCATATAAATTATAATCATATTTGAAAAATAAGAATAAGTAGAGAACAATTTATGTTATCATGCTTAAAGAAACCATTTGCTCTCATATAACTCAAAGTGATACAAATTACTAGTCAACACCGGATAAATGTCAGAAACACATATTAACCAACATTTAAAATTTTAAGAACTCAACAGAACAGGTTACAAACGTGAACACTCAGTCCACGAGGGTAAATAACCAAATGCGGCTTATACCACGAAAACAAACGTGGACACACCAGTCCACGAGGGTAAGTAACCAAACGTAACCGGAGCTACGAATCAAACGTGGACACACAGCCCACGAGGGTAAGTAACCAAACGCGGCTCAGGCCACGAAATCAAACGCGGGTACGAAGCCCACGAATACAAAACGTGAGAATAAAACTCACGAAACAAACTAGCTAGTATTTAACCACAGCGCGCTACGGGCTAACGGAACTGCCGTTAGCAGCAGGGTTTTGTATAGAGTTCTCTTAGAAATCCCATTTCAAACATGCGAGAGAAATAATCATTTTTGAAGTCAAACTTTCATTCTCAAGATCAAATTCGCATGAATTACTTCAGATATATGAAACTTGCCAAATTGATACATCATAACGAATGTACAAACTTGTACTAAGTGTAATCAAGAGATTTTTTAAAATTCAATAGGCTAAGGTGCCTTTATCAATATTAAAAATATATTTCTTGAGAAAGAACACGAATCATAATATGATTATTCTTTATCATTATTTCAAAATTTCTAAAGCTAACATGATTCATAAAAATGAAATATTTTAATAAAAGATTTTTAATGACTGCTCATAAGGAATACTATTCACTTACCTGTTGAAGTTCTAACTCTCGAAAGTATTCTTCTTTTAAGTTTTTCAGGGTCTTGTTCTTCCACACACCCTATAAAATATAAATATATACAATTTTAATTTATAACACAACCTTCACTAACCACCATTAAAATCTCAAAACCCAAATTTATAATTTAAAGTTAATTCAAGCATTATCATTAATTTCTCTTACTTTCTTCATAAAACTTTAACCATGCCATAATATTTCCTTGAAATAGGAGTTTTCTCCCAATCTTTGCATCATTTACCTTAGGTGCATTACTTCTACCTCTTCAATTTTAAGCCTTTAACCATTCACCAAAAATCAAACAAACTCTAAATATACACATGATTTAAATTCCTTTACAAAGCTACAAGAGAATTCCTAAATCAATAATTCCCATCAATAATTAGAAGTCAAAATTTTTTAATTCCTCATACAAGACCTTCAATGACATCTCATAAGTACCAACAATATATCCAAGCTTGTCTCTTTTGATTTCAGTCCAGATTTTTTTTTTTTCGGTCATGGCAGCAATATAGAGCACACACAGATTCCTAGTTTCTGTAATACCCCAGCTACTCACACGCCCATATTTATGAGGAAAAAGGAAGAGATTGAAGCTTCTAACCTCTAATGAATCAACACGCACGAACAGAGGAAAGAGAACGATGATGAACAGTGAAGAAAACTGCCGCCATGAATGAAGAAGAATAAGCTCAGCAATAAATAGAAAATGAACCTAAAAGGAAGAGATCTTTGCTCACCCAAATCTTTTATACCCACGCGAACCAGGAGCTAAGAGAAAGAAAAACTTTTCATTCTTGAATCAGCAGCAGAGGGGACAGACGAACAGCAGGAACTTGAAAAAAATCACAGCTGAGGTGAGCGAACAAGCAGAGCTTCGACGGCGGCTACACGAACGACGTTGTTGGCTTCGGTGGAGGAGGAAGAAGGTAGCTTCAGTTGAGAGGCATAGCAAAACATCGGTGCTCTCAAAGCTCTTCTCTGGTCCAGATCCATCGAGAAAGAAGAAAGAAAGAGTTTTAAAAATAATATGATGAAACCAATGGTAATATGGTAATTTCGCATGACCAGAAAAATAAAAAAATATTTCAACTCTTCTTTTGTACTCTTCGGATTCGAACTGGGGACCTGTTATATGAAGCCTTCCTCAGCTGCCACTAGACCAAGTCTCTGACTTGCTATATTGATCCCAAAAACTAATATAAACCCACTTTAACTAAGTTACCCTATATATATATTTATTTATTTATTCAGTTTAAATTTTGTTGGGGTTATTACAATTCTCATATTTTATTCAAAAAAATGAGCAAATTGGTTCCTAAATTATAGGTGAACGTTTGAGACCTTAAACTCATTTTTGATATAAAGTTTCCTTTCAACATTTAAAAATTATACATTTTGAATGTTAATTAAAGTTAATTTTAACTGTTAGTTGACAAAAAATGATAGAAAATACTTTAAAAATTACAATAAAAAAGCCAAAAATTGTAGGACCAAGAAAATCATTGATCATTTTTTGAGATCATTTTTTATTTTTTTAATCACTTAATGATCAAAGTTAACTTTTATTAATAATGATAGGAGCTAGATTGATGTTCTTAGACTTATAGCTTATTGGTCAACTTAATTTTCTCTTTAGCCCTTTTTATTTTTGAAAACAAAGAAAGAAATATCTTAGAATTTTTTTCATGTTTATATTATTGAAATCACTATCATAAACCATTACCATTAATCACTAACGACCACCACTACAAGCCTTTTTTACTTATAATTTTTTCTAAAATTAACACAATCAAATAGATTTTTATTTTGTATTGTTTTTTTAAAAAATATTTTTTAGGAATTGGTGTACAAAATAGTTTTTAAAAACAAAAAATAGAACAAAACCAAATAAGCCAGCTTAATACATTTTTCAGTCCTTACTTTGTTTACTTGGTTCTTTTTCTCTAATGAGCCCACCCACTCCTTTAATAAGGCTAGTTTGAAAAGAGTACATTGTCATTTTTTAGAAGATTAATATTATTAACAAATGTTGATTTCTCAACTTAATAATCTACATGATCGATGTGGTTAAAATTATAGGGTCCTACATATATTAAGAATAGGAGGGAGTATGTGTTTTCTATTTTTGAGATGATTATGTGGTTCTATAACTTGCACGTATAACGATGCAGGTCTTAAATGAGATTAGAAGACTTGTCAACTAATTTAAGGATGAAGAAATTAGCAAAACAGTAACTGGTCACAGCTTAGGAGCTGCACTTGCAACCGTAAACGCAGTGGACAAAGTCACTAATGGCTATAACATCCCACAGAATCATCATCATCATCAGCCTCATCAGATCAAAGCTTTTCCCGTCACAGCCATCGTTTTTGCCAGCCCACGAGTCGGAGACTTAGACTTTCAAGCCTTCTTCTCCGACCAAATAGACCTGCGAGCCTTACGTGTTTGTAATAAAGAAGATATTGTTCCAAGACATCCTTTCATAGGGTATTCTGAAGTGGGACAAGAGCTTGAAATTGATACTAAGGAATCTCAGTACTTGAAGAACAATGTCGGTGAGGTGGCAGGTTGGCACAGCTTGGAGGTTTATTTGCATGGAGTTGTAGGAACACAAGGAAGCAAAGGAGGATTCAATTTAGAGGTTCAGCGTGATATCGCACTTGTCAACAAAAGCTTGGATGCCTTGAAGGATGAATATCATATTCCTGAGACTTGAAGGGTTCAGGAAAACAAAGTTCTGGTTCAGCAACACGATGGTAGTTGGAAGATGTTGGATCTTGAATTGAAGGATGATGACTTTTAATCCATTAATTAATGCTATAATAGTATATTGTTTGACATTTAAATGTGTAGTGTTACTTTACTTTCTTTGTTCCTAGTAGTATGTTATGTATTTGGTTATTTTGGTGAATGTTTGGTCATTCATTACAAGATTTTACCAAACATGTCAGTGGTTTGTGGTAGAATTTTCCATTGCAAATGCTTAAAATTTATTTGTTTGAATTTTAAAATTTTCATTTTTTTAATAATATTCATGACTTGCAACTATAAAGTAATCTAAAAATGAAATCAAACATTTATAGTATTAAAAAAACATATATTATCACTAGATACAATAAATATTACAATTATAGGAAAATGTTTATTAATTTAATTCATAATCAAAGTTAAAAAAACAAATGTCTAGTCTGAAAGTCAAATAATTTTTCATTAATATAGAGATGAAAAACAAATCTATAGTCCCTATGCAATGAGATGACAAACAAGATATCATTATTCGGAAATAATATATATTAACTATTTTTCTTCTTAATCTCTTCTTTCAGATGATTGTTGATTGGTTATTGATCTCTTCTTGATGTTGTAATAATGAGAATTTCATTCTACTATGGAAAAGCAACGTGAAGGCCACACTACAAAAAAATTGTTTGTCAGCAGCATTGTGAAATTCTAAAATTATGTGAACTAAGGCGCAGCCTTCCCATTTAGTATGTGAGTACAACTCTACAAACACTAAATAAATCGTGACAGTGTTGAGGGACGAAATAAGGGAGACCTTGTTAGCATCAATATATATTATATAACATATATAGCAAGTAATATTAGATATTTACAAGGCTACAATACAATACAACTCACTTTATACTTTGTGCACAATAACGTGCCATCTAGATCTCAATGATATACCTTTAAATCTTTTTCACAAATATGAAACAATAACAAATATAGTACAACTAAACAAAAACTTTTATTTAACTCATTACAGCTAGCACAATTAGAAAGTGTAAGAACAACATTAGTATACCAAATGATTAATTATCAACCATCTCAACTTCACTCTATTTCATAAATGATAGATAACTTTGGGTTTAATTGCATTACTCCATTAACAGCCCTTGTTCTAGTAGGACGTGCGGAGCCAAATGGATTAAGAGGCAAAACTAGCTTTTCATGATCTCCTTCCAACATTTGAACCACAGCTTTCATGGTTGGACGATTTAGTGGATGCCATTGAATGGACCATAATCCCACAATCGATAGCTTTCTTGCAATTTTACTATCCTCCTCTCCTTCTATATGGATTTGTATCTCTCCGTTGTTCTCTAGAAGATTATAAATCCATTGAGGATAGCATACTTCATTGCTGTTTTCTACGGTAACATCTGTGATTTTTCTCCCCCGAACCATTTCAAGTAGCAACATCCCATAACTATAAACATCTGATTTATAGGATACATTGCCGAAGTTTCTAGAAAAGATCTCAGGTGCAATATAGCCTGAAGTGCCCCTTGCTTTTGTCATAGACACAGTGTTTTGATCCTTGGAACAAAGCTTGGCCAAACCGAAATCAGATATTTTAGGTGTGAATTTGTCATCTAAAAGAATGTTGTGAGGTTTGATGCCAAAGTGGAGAATTTTTTGTCATAATCTTCATGAAGATACTCAATTCCTTTGGCAATACCAGTAGCAATATCAAGAAGCTTTGACCAACCCAGAGAAAGGTCCTTTCTGTCAGCTGAAGTTATGAATTTTTGCAGTGAACCATTACGTAAAAATTCATAAACCAAAACTCGTCTAGATCCATCAGCAGAGAAGCCAACCAAACGAACCACATTGACATGGTGAACTCGACACATTGTTTCCATTTCATTAATAAACTCTTGTCCATTCCCTGTTGAAGCATTTAGGAGCTTAACAGCGACCTATATTTCATTAGATAGCTTTCCTTTATAGACAGTTCCAAAAGCTCCTTGTCCGAGTTTATCCTTGAATTGATTTGTGATTCTCTTTATATCAGCATACAAGTATCTAGCAGGCCTAAGTGCGTTGCAATCTTCTAAAAACTGTTTAATTTTCTTGTGGCCTTGCATCTCCTGGCTAGCTTCATAGATATTATAAGAAACAATAACTCCAACAAATATGAACAGAAACGGGCCTAGGATTTCACCTACAAATATAGAAAAATATCGATTAGTAATAATCTTATCGGGTTGCTTTAATCTTAAATATCTGAATTGAATCCTCAGTCGAAGAACCTTACCGGTAATTTTCCATTTTGATGGACTTCCTAAAACATAAATGCAGATATATATATAAGCTTCAAAAACAGAACTAATTAAAATTCACAGTTTCAAAAAGATATTGTAATTGGAGAAATTTTTTTCACCTCTATAATGGCTGTGGTTACATTCAGGTAAACAATTCGCACTATCTTCACTGCAGCTTTTGCAATCTGGTATGGGCCATGATAGAATTAGAAACTCGCTGATATTGTATAGAGAACTGGGCACTAATTCATAGCCATTAATTCTTGTGCAAGATAAAAGAGAATTGTCCACGATTCTCTCTGTATATGGCACAGCTAAAACTTCATAGCCATTAACGTCCAGGCAAGAAAAGTTTCCCCATTATTGAAATCGTCTGCTATCAGAATTCTTTCGATATGTCCTAGAACAATTGAACAAAGCATATTGGCCTGACGACTCAGGATGATGATCATCGACTGCCCGAAAAGGAGAAGAGTATAAAGCGAGATGAGCAAGGCATCCTTCAAGGTTAGACACGGTTAAAATCTATGATTCATAGTCTATAAAGTATACTAAAACCTCGATAGACAAAGGCAGCTCAAGCACTGTCTGGTTTGTTTCAGTACAGTATAAATCAAAGTAAGCACTATAGCCACATCGTTCTAGCTGTTTGCCTTTGAACCTAAACGGAAATCTTATCTTTGGTCCATCAACATCGCACCTTGATGATTCTTTGCATGCATCAGGGAAATCATCAGGTTTGGCTGAAATTATTACAAAGCTGAAGAATAATAAAGGGACTCCTTTTTTAAAGAGAATGGCCATTCGATCGTGCCTGAGGTTGACAAGCAAGTGCTGTTTCATGTTTCTTTTTGGTCTACAGGAAAATCTATAGGTACGATGCTTATGCTTTTAAATCTAATTAAGATACAAGTATGTGAAAGTAAAAGTAC